AATAAGACAAAAACGCGGTTTGGAAGATGAATTCATGATGTACTCGCTCATTATATGCATTTTGCAAATTTTGAACACAGAAAAAGTTACATAGTGCTGCTTTAACTTCACTACATTTGGAAGACAAATATTGTACTTTTCACTCCACTACATTTCTCGTCCTCGAAGTAGAAAGTCGTTACTAGCAGCTTTGAAAGTCAGTGGGTGACTTTTTTTTGACAGCCTATAAGTAATCACTCTTGTAGGGTTACGTGAAGTGATTTCCCAGCATTTTTTCTTTTTTCCTTATCACTCTGTATTTACAGGATTTCACTGTCCACTCTGTTCAAATGTGGATGAATGGCTGTGGGCACACACTGTCAGAGCTGTGTGAGATCACTACCATCCTGCTTTTGTGGGGGTCGGTAGGAGTGTTAAATAAAAATTATTATTTTTTTGTCAACTCACTTGTTTAGTTTCTATAGGTTTTTAACTTTCTAAAAGCTCTTTATTCCAAAGATACTACAAGCTAGTCAATGTATTCAGTAGGTGTAATGTATTGTAAGTTGCTTCAGAGGCATAAGGTATTGCAAGTATTACATACAACAATAATAAAACGGTGTGTTGACATAAAAAAGGAAATTTACTTTTGGTACTTGAGTACTTTTAAAAGCAAGTACTTCTGTACTTTTACTTAAGTAAAAATCTGTCTTTACAACTTTCACTTGTAATGGAGTAATATTTGACCAGCAGTGTTTGTACTTTCACTCAAGTAATAGAGTTGTGTACTTGCGCGCCTTTTGTTGGTTGTGACACCAACAAAATTTTACATTTTTATATAGCTTTACACAGAAAAGGTTGGTAAGTGATATTTTTCAAGCTAAAATTGTTAACATGCATATTGTTTATATCTTGTGGCAAAGCTATTTAAACAGTCGGCTTTTTAATGGCCCCTTCCACTTCCATTTTAAGTTTCTCACAGTATGTTTTTTTTTAACAGGAAAAATTTCAGGCTATACTAGACCACTATCATGCTAGCATATTTTAACACATTGCTAACATGTTTCTAGTATGATTTACTATGTTGCTAACATGTTTCTAGCATGTTTTAACACATTAATGATATGTTTTTGCATATTTCTAATGTTTTAACACATTGCTACCATGTTTTTACATTTTTAGCATGTTTTAACATATTTCCAATATGTCAACACATTGATAACAACATGTTTTAACATGTTTCTAGTATGATTTATTATGTTGCTAGCATGTTTCTAGCATGGTTTAGCATATTCATAACATGTTTTAGCATATTTCTAATGTTTTAACATGCTGTTTTAACATTTTTAGAATGTTTTAACATTTCTAACATTTCAACACATTGCTAACATGTTTTAACATGTTTCTAGTATGATTTATGATGTTGCTAGCATGTTTTAGCATATCTCTAATATTTTAACATGCTACTGTTTTAACAGTTAACATGTTTTACCATTTTTAACATGTTTTAACATATCTAACATTTCAACACATTGCTAACATGTTTCTAGTATGATTGCTAACATGTTTTAGCATGTTGTTAGGATATTTTAACACATTCCTAACATGTTTTAGCTGTTGCTAGCATGTTACTAACATATTTCTAACGAGCTTTAGCATACTGCTAGCTAATACTAAAATAGCATACTGCTACTATTCTGACCTGTGACAGCAGAAGGCATGAGACTGTTTTTTTTTTTTTTT